ATTTTAAATTTATAAAATGTCACATTTGAATGCAGTAAAAAACATTTTTTTTTCTAGTTTTCAAATGATTATATACAAATTTTAGCTTTAAAATAAATAATATATAGCTAATTTTGATACATTTCAATAATTGTGTATGTAAATATAATTTGAATTAAATGCGATCAAGAAACTGAGTCTATACGTATAATTTTTTTTTAATAACTTAAATTTTTTAATTTAATTACATATAATGGGATAGTTTGAAATAGATATAATATTTTAGAACAATTTCTATATTGTTTTTACATAACACTATTATTTTTTCGATTACATACATTTCCGATTTTAATCAGTGCATGATTGTATTAAATTTTATATATAAATAAACAATACTTATTACAATACCATAAAAACACCTACGTTTATCACCAACGCAATATCATTTTATTAGATTTATAGAACTTTGAATTGAAATTACAATATTAAATAATTTCATAACTAGTTTAAATACACTTACACTGTACACCGATTCGTGGTTACTTGTTCGAAGTTCACGTACACCTAATACCCACTAAATTAACCGCTATACCACGAACGCTTTTTATCTTTGATATTATCTCTTTTGTATAATTTTTTTTTTTTTTTTTTTGATTCCAATATTGAGATTATGCATTTGTTTCAAACAATCAAACCACTATAATTATGTAAAATGTATGATAGGAAATATCATCACATCACGTAATAATCAACGTGAAAACAATACTATACAGCAAATAACTCATAGGAAACACCATATTCTAATATACAATACTAAAATACCAAATAACATATTTCAATAGATTTAAACGATTGTGGTTCTTCAAAAATAATATATATGATACACAGCTGAATTTCTGAAATAACTACGAATATTTAATTACATTTGCAATTTTATTTGAATTGAAACCGTTACCTTTGTGTTTAAGAATATACGAGTACCACAGAGCGCAAAATTATATAATAATGTTTCACATCTGATGGTTTAATTATACACTGTTTTGATAATCGTTACATAGTTTATAACATTATATGTGAGTGTCGGACATTAAAATCAAAACTTAAAACCAACTCAAATGAGACACGGAAATTGTGTTAATTGATACGTGGGTGTACCTCTCCACACTTAATGAAATTTAAAAAAGATTCATATACGGCATAATTGAACCACTAACTGGCATGATGTATACAGTCTATACGAGTTTTATTCTCATACAATAAAAGTATTAATTTGTATGGTCATAATAAAATAGTATATGATTCTAGAAATACAATAACATAAACTCAAATGTAATCCATCACTAAAGTTAACTCAAGTTGAACAAACTATTTAAACGATCGCTACCGCCAAATCCTTTGAAGTCCATAACTGGTTTATATTTAACCCAACGTCGATGTACCTAAATAAAAATATGATGTGCTTCAAAACTAACTAGTATAAGATTTAGACATTTCATACTTCATTATTTATACTTCTACGCAAATTAGTGCAGACGCTAAATCTTAGGAAATATTTTTTACTTTGTCGGACACGTCATAAGAAATATTTTGTTTTAAATCAAAAAAAGTCATCATGTTCTGCACGCAATGAATTTAAATAGTATATTATAATATAATATTTGTTAAATATATCATGTGAATATATGAATCAATAAAATTTATAGTTGATATTGAGCTAGTTAATACATTTTATAACCAACGGGTTAAAAAAAAAACAAATTAAATTAGAAATTGCCTAAACTTAATTTAAACGTCTTTTAATTCATTAAATTATTATTTGAAAAAATACCAAACTTCAAATGACAATTTCAAATTATTTCTATTCGGCAATAATTTAAATAATTTTACATATATTATCACATGAGTAATAATGCAATCAGTTGAATACTATTTTGGATTTAATTGTAATTATTTTTATTTTCAAGATAATTTTCATGTTGCAAACCATAAAAATATTATTTTTAAAGCAATTATTAAATAGAAAATAATCATAGTTATTATATTTTAATCAAACTTTTACTAAATTCATATGCTTTCTCATATTTGATCAACTCAATTTAATACATTACGAACAGTTAAAAAAAGCAACTTATCGAGTCGAAAGTTCACAACAAAAATGCTAGTTGTTTAAGTCGTTTAAAATAAATTTGACGTTATAACTTTTTTTACATTTTTTATTCATCTATGCACATCGTTGAATCGAAATGGTGATTTCATAGTTACGCACCAATGACCCATACTACCCATTACATATTATATTAGAACGGGATATTATAATGACTCGATCGCGAATACTTATTTTCGATACACCGCGTGAACCTCTGAGAGTGATTTGAATGGATTGCACATAATTAAATGTTTCGCATACTTCAATACCGTCTATAACATAAATTTTTAATCGCACAGAAATGGTTGGCACGATTGGGAAAAAATTTCCTACATAGCATTCCACTGGGTAAAGTCCGAGTTCATCGAGGCGTTTTTTATTTCCTTTTTTCCGCACGTCGTTGACCGTTTGTCTTGCGCGCGTATAGCAAGTTGGACGTCGGGTCGCGTTGTGGTCTTCGTCGACGACAATTGACGATCAGCGTACGATAACGTCGGCCGGGGCAAAGAAGGTATGATCCGGACGACGACGTTTGTTCGTATGACACATATTATATTATTGTTGTTGCCTACGCACCATCGGCGTACACGATAATAATATGTATTAACTCGTGTCGTGTATACAGGGTAAGAATTCAGCGCACCGTATGGTAAAAAAACTCGATCCGTTTTGTTTAAGTTGTCGTCATGAAAATAAGTTTTAAATCGCGCTTTTAATAGCACCCTTGATTCGAATGCGCGCATAAGTTAATATTTCCTATAACGTGTACATTTGCGTTACATACATATACATGCATGTGTGTATATGTATACATATTTATACAATTAATATTGCACATTACCGTGATCTTCGACTGTGATATGCATTGCGACAAACACATATGAACTATATTCTCGGGTACGCATCGGGTTCCGTTTCTTTTTTCACTCTCGTCGTCGAGACGATTTGTCATAGTTTTTCGAATGCTCGAATAGCGAAAAAATGCATAAGAAAATTCCCCGGGTAACTTATACATACGCACCTATTACGTTTGAGCGCTGTGAATATGGCAGTATATCGTAACAGATCTCGCTCGTCTAGAACACTGCAGCAGCTGTTTAGATGCCGATCATCCTGTATCCACGCACGAACAAATCGCGGAATCCGCGGTGGCGACGGACGAGTGAAATACGCTGTGACGTATTGAATTTGTACTGTTTTCACAATGCGGGATAACAACTCCCGCTCTGGCACGCGCGTGTGTGTGCGTGTATTTGCGTTTGTACAATACGTGAATATTTACGTGATCGCGCGGATGTATGCGAATATTTATTTATGTGTGTGTACGCTATACGCGCACGCAATCCAAATATCTCTCGTGCCGCTTCCCGTTCCCCAAGATGATATCTCCGTGTCATGTTTATTGGCCACGTCGCGAGACCTCCGCACACATAAACCCTTTTTTACCATACCTCTCACGCTCGTTCCTTCCTTCCTTCCTTCCTTTTCGTCCGTACGCCGTTTTCTACACCTCCGCCCGTGTTCCAGTGTCTTCGTCACCATCACTTTACATTGGCTACATGGTAGTTTTTTTTTTTATTTTTACACGCGGTCATCTGGCCGCGTGGGCCGAACTGGAATACATACGTGAGCTAGACCGTGCTGGAGGTATCGTGTTTTATACACAAAAGGGTCGCCCGGCTGACGTATTTCAGCGACGATATCGTAGTGCTGCAGCGCAGTAATAGAACTAGTTGTGCTACGGAACAAATGTACAACGATCATTCGCATATTTTATTTCCATTATTCATATATATATATATATTTCTTATTACTTCCCGACATGGGTTTATTACAAACGGATTCCACTCGACCGTGCATTACGGTTTCCCTGTCGCATGTACAAATACAACGCCATATAGTCCGCCAAAGACGGTCGTTTTATTATTTTTTTTCTCCCGTACAGGTATATGTGCGCGTATTTATACGTACAAAATACACGTGTACGAGTACCGGTCAGAGAAACAATATGCATATTTCAAATGCGATCTTCTGGAGCAACTCGTATACGTCCGGGGCTTCGGATTCGCGTTCTGTTCCGCGTAACGGCAGCGTACAATGCGTGTTCGTACGGATTTAAGGCGCGCGCGTATTGCGTTTATTGTATTCTCCCGGAATTTTACCGCGCTCGGTTTATGGTCGGCGGTTTCTGCGTACAACTCAAACACCCGTTTCGTTTCGATTATCCTATTTTCGATTTGTCAATGTATTTTGGCAACGGTACAAATGCGATTGACAAATAGTGTTTATCGGTACATTGTTCTCATACCGCTGAATTGGTTTACTTCAATTAAAAATAACGCACTTTTCGTTCCACCTGTACGTACAATTAAAACCATCAAGGCTATCAGATAATAATTTCTCTTTTTTCGTAATTAAAACTAGGTAATGCGCGCACACGTAGTATATACGTACATAACAAGAAATATGATAGACAACGACACTGTACCTATACGATTTGCAGTAGACGTAAGTGGTAAAAGTACTTATTTCGCATTAATTATCGCAGATATAAGAATTTTCTTACGTAATTGTTGAAAAATAAAAATAAACTCAAATACACGTAAACCATCAGAATTTTTCATTAGACCGATTTTACCGTACGACTAACATAATATACCTAATATACGCGTGCACGGTAAATTACATCCATGTAGCTGATTTGCATTTTTCGTTTATAAACGCACAGACATAATAAATGTAATACGCCGAACGAATAATATATCAATTTTTCATTTGTCTTAATCACGCTGCGCGATACCGCATGCATAATTTTATTAAGAATATCGTTTACGGCGTGTTCCGTTCCGTGTAGTACTAATAATATGTTAACGCGGTGCGGCGGTGTATGAAACTCGGTTTCGTAGACAATTTTCCATTTATCTTACTCCATTTCCATAACAGTGCGCGCGCGTGTATACGTGATTGCACGTGCCCGTTGATCGTCGTCGTCGGTGCAAACTAGCATTAAACGGATTTTTCAGTCGGATGCCCTTGACGGTTGCTGCTGCTGCTGCTGCTGCCGTGTACCGCTGTTGTCGCTGGTGACTTGAACGTTCGGCAATGACAGACACGTTACATCGTTTCGCCGCGCGTACACGCTGCGCCTTGGAAGTCCGACCGAAACGTGCACGACATCCACGGCGAGTTTTCAGTTTTCCTCTTTCGTTTTTCAGCGCGTGTTCGACCGGTCCGTCGTCGTCGTCGTTCTCGTTTCCGGTGCCTTCTGCTTCACATCGTACGCGAAACGCACGTCCCGGTCGCCCCTGACCGCTATGTAAAACGTCAACACCGCTGGCCGTAAAGAAATAACGTGCACGGCGCTAAACGAATAAACCGTAACCGGAAGAAAAAAATACAAGCAACATCGAGGTAAGTGATCCAAAACGTTGCCGGAAACTTGTAGATGTTATCCTTTCCTTGCGTCCGTGGCTTTTCACATTTTTTTTTTTCAACGAAATCGATGATTTTATTCCGTGTTCTATCCGCGAATGCGATCCACGGTTTGGCGCGGTACCGCGATGGTTGTGTTTGCACCGTCAATCGACTCGTTCGGTTTTAAATCGATTTCTCCGCAGAAACAATTCTCGTAGACAGCTCGCGCGTCAAATATCGCGTACGATAGAGATATTGCATATTTACGCTGGGTTTAAGACGAAACGCACTATTAATAACGACATTGGCATTCTTAATACGTTCGATGACCATTATTTAGAAAATGAATTATTTAGTAAACGCTCAGCGGGGTGATTAATATGTGTAAGACATAAGCACACGATCTGACATTCAACACATAATCCAAATTAAAACTTGTTCGATAATATTTGATTTTCGTGCTGATTAATGTTCTTAGACAATGGTTAAAACACTGCCAACATTCTCGATTTTAGAGTACTTGATGAGTTGAATACACATTGTGATTTGTAAACATACCTATTACTATGATACACGTGTTTCTAGCAGACTAGTACGTCAATGGATTGTAATGCTTCAACCACAATGTTTGTTATATTCAAATATTTCTATCAGATTCAGAAATTAAAAAATTATAAAAAAAAAATAAATAATAAACATCAACAAATGATTTGTATTTCAAATCATCAAAATCAATAATTAAAAAGGATTTATTTCTTAACACAAAGGAAAACTAATTTTATTATTTTTTACGCTTTATATGAAGAACATAGTTGTGTTACTTGGATGGATATGGACATTCTTAAACGTCTGATTCCGAAACGTGAAATAGTTATACAATGGACAATATAAACATTTAATTGTTATTCATTTTCATAGACCAGGAACTTTAGTTTAAAACACTTTTGAATGATAATTTGTACATTAAAAATTAATTAATTAAGATATTCATAAGACTTCAAATTTCAAAATAACGCTTATATGTTTATTATGTACAATTTGCATTTAATCTTATTGAAATTTTTAACTTTGACTCCGTGACATTTACTTAACCACCCCTTCATAATAATTAGTATAAAATTTAATTAAAATTTTAAAATTTGTGTAAATCTCAATATAATATTGTTTCAGACATGCATATTTTGAAACTGCGTACAGCCAAATTTTGTTTTATAAACAAATATATACGTAAGCTTATTATTACATATTTTTGGAAAAAAATACTGAGCTTATTTTTATTACGTCCATACAAATATAAAAATCAAACCTACATCATTTTGTTTTTTCTTCAAATTAAGATCGAATGAAGTTTTTCAAAAGATAGTTCAAAAGATAATTCTTTAAGGACTCCATTGTATTATAAATTCTCTCTTGAGTAATCTGACAAAACATTTTTTTTGTTGCTTTTATCTTATATATTTATTCTAAAAACACATGGATAAACACATCGAAAAAACACACGATGTTCAACAAGGTACAATGTGGCACATACAAATTCTCAAGGTTTCTCATGATCTTAATTGAGAAATTATTCCCGAAATGTTCGGCAAACGCAATGTGCGTTACATCCGTAACAAATATAAAGCAAAAAAAAAAAAAAAGGAAATCAACGTTACGGTGTTGGCCAATCGTGCAAAAAAAAAAGTGACTCAATCTTTACTGTACTTGTCATTCGGCAACGTCCCTCCGACAGTATTACGGGGCATATCGGACGAACCTTTTGTCGGTCACCGCCGCCGCTCGTTTTATCCGTCTAAGATCAACATATATTACATCCGTGGGGGGGGGGGAAGGGAAAAAAGAAGGAAAAAAAAATGAAAATAATTAGTATTCATCAAAATCGTCTCGGGACACCTTGAAGGATGATACCGTTTTGGTTGTTTGCCAAATGTTATTATTATTAGCAATCTAAAAACGAGGAAGAAGCCTCGGGGGCTTTAGTGGACGAGAGGGGGTCCGCCACGGCGTCAGACATGAGTTATCGTTCGTGTCGTAACGACAAGGCCGCGATCATCACGAGTCCTATTTACCAAACGCGTTAATTGTAACACGGCCGGTGGAACGCGAACGGCGGCTGGTGCAGGTTAGACCAGCTGCGGAACGCGAGTGTACCAGCGACGCGAGGCGATGAGAAGCGCACACGATCGTCAAATTACAGTGTTTAGAGTGTGAGAGAGAAACAAGCACTGCATCGCACGCCCGCCGCCGACCTTGGCAACCAAAATGATTCGTCAGCGAGATGATTTAGCAGGAACGTGTATTGTGTACAGGAACCGCGAATCCTCATTAACTCATTAATACGTATAATATTTTTGTAACTGTTACATCGACACTAGTGTACGTAATCCAGGACGACGATGAAAACGAGGGATAATATTTTCCGAAAACGATTTTAGCTCAGAAATCCACGACGTAAAGCGGATCTATACGTAAAATAGCCTCTTCGACGAGTTAGGCGTCCACTGGCTAGAAAGAAAATGATGTACGTAATATAGTGTATTTCAAAAACTAATATTTTTACAAGCCTTTTTTCGTGGATCAAAGGTAAGATAAAAGTGAAATGTTTTCCAGTGATTTTAAAAGCGAACGATCGAGTTCGAGTTGAAATGTATTCGAATTGCGTTTACAAAACAATCACGCTTGAAATATAAACCAAAGGATAACGAAAATAATTATTATTAAGCCTGTGTACGTTACGGTACCGAACGTTCGGCGGAGTAGTAATTAGTTATTGTTTAAAGAGTAGCAAAATCGCTTTTCTATAGTCACTCAAGCGTTGGGATTAAAATGATTGGTCAACTATTCTTTTCAACTGCAATAATACATATATATATATTATAATTTTTCGTTACAACTTTAAACTTCTAGAGTTTTGTAGATTATTATTTGCCGACCGTTTACGAACAACTCATCTTAACTTGCTCACAAGCTGCGATGCGTCGGACGGAAAATCAAATCGATTTCTTCGCATAATCTAACTTGGCTACCGTTGTCCGTCGTATCGCACACGTATCTCATTAGTGTACTCACTACGTTTCGTCGGAATCCGCTGAGCTTGACCGCGTTCCACGACACCGATGTACCGAACAACCGAACGACGTGGTATGCACTTTTATTCCCTTAAAGTGTCAACCTCCCGACCGTCACATGGATAAATGACGATCATCAATCGTCGTTTTATATCTTGTCGTGAGCGAACGTTTCGTGAATTTTTTTATATTGCACGCGGTATGCCCGCAGACCGGTTGACCGTTTGCCGTGCGTTGAACAGCAGGGCTTAAAGCGACAAAAAAGGGTAGGGGGAACTCTAATCCGTATATCATTCTTAGCGTTCCATATAGTCCCCCATACAACGGTCACTAGGTAATTAATATAAATATAAATATATAATAAAGTGTCGTTAGTGTTAGTCGTTAGTACGATTCCGTCCACAAACTATTCATGTGCTGTAAAAATGTATAAGCTTGTAAATTATTTATAGTTTTAAATAATAAATAGTAAATACATTTTAATAAAATAAAATAAAAATTCAAAAAACTTATACGTAAGTGTATATTACTGCATAACATATAGTTTATGTGTAATATTAGTTAGTTTTGTTTGTAGAACACCAAGTGACTTCAACTGAATCGTAAAGCCAATTTTTCAACTGTTTTATTGTGTATGATCATTTCTGAAAAATAACTAATTTCAATATACTTTTCGAATAATCTTCAGAGGGAACGTATTATATGGGCTATAAGAAGTAGGGGGACTGACTTCCCTCGCGTCCCTCCACCACTTTAAGTTCTGGAGTAGAAGTATCCGGGTAAAAATTTTGTTACAATCGGACATCATTCGAACGTGTATTTATACATACACACATATTATACACTCATATTTGTAGTAGACAATCATCGCTAAAGTTATAGTACCGAGAGAATAATGATTGGCTCCGAGTCATAACTGCCGAGTGGCCGCGCAAAAAAAAAAATAAAAAAAATACGCGTTAGCTTTTAAATAACCTGTAATATGTATTGCGAGTCCAGCGCACAAGTACTGTTGAAGCGATAAAGGCGAATCGGGCGGCCATTGTAGTGAACAACAATTATTAAGTAACGTTAAACTGCCTAGGACGCAATTTTCTAATTTTGTGAGAATATGTTATTGAAGAACTAAATAATTGCATTCCACATGGTTATTATACGAGTAACGATCATTCGTAATATAATTATTACGCTATTAGCAATTAGTTCAATAAAATAATAATACCTACCGTCGTCATCGGAGCAAACGGGAAACAAAATGAGTGACCTAGAAAAACCGCGCAGACTTATCCCTAGTGCCGGACATAATTATTGGCTTTTGATTATTACGGAGTCTATCATTATTTTTATTACTGCTATGCGATGAAATAATATTTTAATTTTAAACAAAAATTCGCCCGAACCTGTGCGAAAAGATAAAAATAAACACATTACACATTCAAACGCAATTCAAATCGTATAATTTATTACGTACAATCGATAAAAACGTATTTTTTTTTTTTCATCTGAAAAGCCCTCCAGATCCGATATGTCGGTCGCACCTAACCCCGGCGGTTAGACTGTTACGTTGTATTTGTATTCCGAAACGCGTACTGATAAAGACGTACGTCGAGTCGCGTGCGATTGATATAATTAGATTATTTCCGAGCCGTACGATCTGCGACGTCACGCCTCGAGGTCGGTGTTATATTGGCTCGGGTAAAAATTAGATTTGAGAAACCGAGAAAAATTACCTTTCAATGTATTCTACTCTGCACTCAAACGTTAATTGGTTTTGAAAATTTGTATTTAAACGGCTCGTTTAAAATGAGACTACGAGGAAAAAAGCATGTAAACAATATTTAACTATTCATCACTCTTGAAACAATACCGTTATGCACCATTGCATGATATCGGTGAAACTATTCCGACAGAAGTATTACGTTTTCTAATAAATCTTGTTCGTCCGAAGTATACCTGTAGGCTCTGGCGTCTAAACGATAACTGATCGATGTTATCAGAAGAGGCAGGGTTCGCAGAGCGTTGGCTCTTTATAATACCCCTCGATTGGCGATCGATGTTAAAGTTCAACGATATTGCGGTTAACCGGTACACGGGAAACGAGAGAATTTCGAAAAAAAAAAAATTGCCTCGCCCGTCCGCCGCCACCAACTATACGGGGGATCACGGTGCGGGCCGCGCATGATATTATGATGATAATAAATCGCAATACAAACGGCGGTAGAGCGCATATCGGATACGTCGATACGGAGGGGAACCAACCGAACACTCTCTCGCTCGTACTCGTGGATAAATCGTCACGATGATTTGCGGCAAACGACGATGACCTATTTGGACGAGTTTTCGGTGCGGTACCGGTGCACTGTACCTAACATAATACGCGAACGGGCGCGATTTGGCCCCGAACGACGACCGTCCCGGAGCACACGTGCCGATCCGTCCACGTGAACGTTATATCGATCGCGGCCGACGAGGGAACAACGTCTAAACATAATGCCCGTTGTTACAACGGGCGAGTATTATGATTCACGTGCGTGTGTGCACGTAAAACGGGGCTGCGGAATCTATTAGCGCGTTTTTCCTGCGGTACCGGTCAGGAGGTGCACTCGGCCACGCGCCGGTGCCGCGGAACGAGAGAGATGGACGTCCGGACGTATTAGGTCGTCACGACGGGTGATTTATTCTCGTATTCCGTACCCGGGTGTTTGCGCTGCTCCGTACACGTACTTGCTTCAACCCCCCCACCGATTTCGTCTTCGGAGCACCTACAACTGCGAGGTACCAATATATATATATATAAATATATACCAATATATATATATATATATTTATATACATATATTATTACGCGCGATGACGAAAAAACCGTACATGCTCGTCGGCCGCCCTAAAATTAGATCGCATCACGATCCTATCGATCATGTCGCTGCGCGTGCGATACAGGTATATGCCGCACGCCACATCGTCGTCCGCAGCACGCGCGTTAATAATCATATTTAGCCGCGTGATGGCGAAAAGTGCATGAAAGAGAATAATATTATTATAATATCGATACGGTGCGCGCGCGATGATAATCATACTAATAAAACCCGTCGTGGACGCCCGTAAAAAAAAAACCCGAAACGAAACCCGTTCATCCAGATCAATCTGTACGCCGTGCGGTTGATAAGGAGGAGACTGCACGTCGAACGGTCGAGCGTATATAATATTATCACGAACACCGGGTTTGCGGTCGAAAGGCCAAAATCAATTTGGACTATTATTTAAAACGTCACCTGAGTACCGGGTAAGTGTCGGTGGTGCCACGAGTAGACGAGAGGAATGCTCGGAAAGAATGAAAAAAAAAAAAAAAAAAAATGAAAACTAATCATTACAACGAGATCGAGATCGTGACTGTGGCGAGCAACTCGTTACGGTTTTTAATGTTAACATCCACACGATGTCCGATACCGTAAACCAGTGCAGTGTGTGAGCGGCGTACGCGGAGACGTGCTCGGCGCGCAAACGATGGGCGAAAAATATACCACCTCTGCCCACGTGGCGGTGAAGGGCCACATCAAAAATTCTGTTCGCCGGTCATGTACTGTGCCGATTTGATGAGAAAATGCGAAGAAAAGATAGCATTGCATTACGCTCCGGCACTTCGACGTGTTACAGCAGAAAAAGTTCGACGGCGGTGACAAACTATCGTAAACACAACGAGCAGTACGAGTTAGGCAATTATAAAAAAAAATAAATAAATAAATAAGAAACGCACAACTCCGTGTCACTACGCAACAAGTGGGTAAATAGAGTAAACACACACCGAGATATTGCAACCGTTTAACTATTAATTTTACAAAATCTACCGTGTACCGTGTACATAATGTACTTTTACGTCGTAATCTGATTTAGCTTGTTTCAGTAATGATATTAAAACTATAAATCGTACCTATACGAATATATTTTTTTAACTGTTAAAACGCGATTATAAAATTTTGTCCAAAATTTCAAAACACTTTTGACATCGTACATGGCTGTTTAGCATTTCTAATTACATATTTATACCGGGATTGGCCAATATACAGCTCGCGTCATAGTTACTTATGCGTCACACGTCATATTTTCAAAAGAAAAAATATTTCAAAAATAATCTATAGACATTTAAAATATGATGAACTGTAAACCGTTATTTACTAGGTCCTCGAAGTAGTGAAATTATAATATTATATATAAACCGGTCGTACTTTACAAATATAATAATACTACAAGCTAAGCTTCTATTTATTTATATATTAACTTATATTTATTTATGATAATTAGTGTTTAGTTGATATCGTGTTTAGATGAACCAACGGTGCAAGGTGTGTGAAGAACCAGCAGCCGGTTTTCATTTTGGAGCTTTTACATGCGAAGGATGTAAGGTAAGATATCTAACAATTACATTACACAAGAATTTTTTTAAATTCAACATGCTGGTAATTTGTAAATTGTTGTGATAAAGCTGCAAGTACTTCCTCACTAGCAAATATAAAACAAAAATATTAAAATACACGAATATTTACAGGAACATTTTTAATAAAAAATATACAGCGGATACAATGTTGAAATAAAATGGATCAAATGTTTGATTACGTTCTCAAATATTTAGTTCTTTCCTTTTCTCTTCAATTTTTTCAATCATTTCTCTTCAATCCAAAATAAAATAGAGCATGATAGAAAAATAATATATTAATATATAACTGTATATTACTTTTCAATCACGCTCTGTTTTATAAATATATAAATGTATTATATAATACTATATATATTATATATATTATATATAGTATTATATAATACATTTATAATCTTATTATTATAGTCTTATCTATAAATTTGTTAATATTTGTTTTAAATAAAAATCCATAAAACGTTTCCTATACATTTCTTATAAAACACATATACTCGTCCATAGTTTTGTAAATAATTTCCATAAATCATGCAAAATTACTCAGTTATCTAACTAAAGTGACCTTCAAAAATTGTAGCAGCAGTTGCAATGGAAACAATGGACTGCACTAATAATAATTAGTGCAGTCCATTGTTTCGTTTTCGATCACCATCCTGTAAATTTTAAAATATTTCAATAATTTCTTCTATTGTTACGTTGCTTATCATTGTTGTTAAATTTGTTTTGAACATACAAGTCATTAAAATTTTTATACTAACTCAATCCACACGTGAATATTTATTAAATTTCAACATTTTATTCGGTGTTCGTACTTATATGATATTGTCTTAGAACTTAATTTGCTGTATTGTTTCAATTTGTAAAGATTAAATGCCCAAAAGGACTGTATTTTGATCAATTGAGTTTTGCACGCATAGTACATTGGTGTTTGATTAACGTTTAAAAATGCTGACTGAAAATCAAGGCTGGTTGCACAACGCGTTGTTAGCACAATTCCACGACCGATGCATCAGCACAGTCGTAAAACGCATTACCTATCTCAGGGTTGGCGAACTATTTTTGGTTCAAGTGCCCAATTTTTCCTTTTTAGGTTTTGAAAACTGTTCACGTTCCCAAATAAAACTATATTTTCTAAGAATAAAAACAAAATTACAGATTTATTGTATTATTTTTATTAAATTTTAGTCATTCTCACAAGTAACGATTGTTTCATTGGTCAAAACGTTTCTTTCCTTCGATTTAATTCAATTTGTTTTGGTGAATAAACTTTGACAAACATAAGTTGACGAAAAATATGATAGCATAAGGAATACTGTCACTTTTACAACATGTATAATTTATTTATTTGAATTTCTTGCAACCAACATTTTATAAATAGTATAATTTTTTTTTTTTTTTTGTAAAATTTTTAATAATTTACATTTTTTGCGCGTGCCCATTATAATTTGGGACGCGTGCCATAGGTTCACCACCTGTGACCTATACCGATAAAGCTGCGTTACGTTTTTCGTTGCGTTGCGTCGCGCGCGGTCCCGCTGAGGAGGAGAGGGAAGGACAGGTATCGATTTAATCTGAAGCGTGCAAATTTAATTTTCCAGTCGTTTTTCGGTCGGGCGCACACCAACCCCACGGCGGCGGCGGCGGCGGAGTGCAAGACGGGTGCCGGTCGATGTGTGATCGACAAGAAGAATCGGACGTCGTGCAAGGCGTGCCGGCTCAAGAAGTGTCTGGCCGTAGGCATGTCGAAGAGCGGCTCGCGGTACGGCCGCCGGTCCAACTGGTTCAAAGTCCACTGCCTGGTCCAGCAGCAGCGGCTGCACCTCGGCCACCAGACGGACCGTAGTCGAACGCCGCCACAGCCACAGCTACTGATACCTCCGCCACCCCCGCAGCAGTTGCGGTTTTTCCGTTTCGCGCCAATAAGTCTGGCCCCGTCACCGCGATTCGAGCACATCCGCAAGTCCGTCAGATCGAATGACCACGACGGTAGAAATCCCGATCTCGACGATCACGATCTACCGGTCGATCTTACCGTCGTCCGAAAATTCAGCGACGACGACGACGACGATGACAACAACAACAACAACAACGGTACGTTGACCGGGAAGTATGTACAGGACTCGTCAACGCCTCTAGACTTGACTAGGACAAGTCGTTACAGGAACTTCGGCATTCGTTCTTAAGGCCCGACACGCGGTTACGCCGTACAGTTTTCGTTTCGTACCTTATTACTATTGCATTATCGCCAATAAGGGATGATAACCTTTCCTAAAGAACAGATATCGATATTAAGTTCACATTCTGTATGATAAAATTAAGTCAGCAGTATCAACACAAAATCGGTTTTTCCTAACTTTTCGGAAACGGTCGCCCCCAAACCCCATCCCTCCGTTCACCTTTGCTGCCTTATTCCACTGACATCTGCCCAATTGAAATCTCTAAGTTTTTACAAACAATAATAATATTACGATGTCTAATAAAATTAATGTATCTTAATGTATCTCAATGCTTGTAATGTATACATTAGGTAAGCACATATTATATAGATACACTTATATAATGTTAGTAGGAAGGGGGTCGAAACAAATTAATTTAAGGGTCATGGATGAAAAAAGGCTACACAAACGTGAATAAAGTGTTTCAAGACAAATATTTTACTAACACGTAAACAAATTACGTGCACGCATATTTAGTTTCTATAGTTCTATTATACACGTTACATTATGTACTACACTTTTTGTTTGCTCATACCTCAAGCAGGAAGATATTATTGGTTTACGTTGGTCATGGACTGCACACGTATAAGTAGTAATATCTTCTACCCACCGACGTTCACTTAATACGAACCGACACGGTGCACGATTTATTGGTTTATTTTAATTTTAACTTCATTTTTTATTTACCATCATTATTATTGTTCATGTAATTGATGACGTTTACAATGATGACCTCTGCATAGCATATATTATCGGGTTGCGTATTGTTATTTTTAGCATCTACTGCTATAGATGAATTCATCGTTTGTAAATATTGTTTTCTTAATTCATTGTTCAGGAAAAAATATGCACTTTTAAAACGTAAACTAGATTGTATCTATTTTTTTTTCCTTTTTAATTGTAACTAATTATTTTAAGATCTCAATTTTTTTGTTTTGTTAACTGTAGTATATTTTAATTTGTATACATTTATTTTTTTACATAATTAATGAATAAACGTAATAAAATTTGTTCGTGAGATATTACACTGCTAGTAGCAATTATTATTATTATTGTAAGGACTTGGACGGCAGAAGGCCGCGCCTATAAGCTCATCGAGGTTAAATTCGCTTTTTCAGACAGTAAAATGTTCGTTGAAACAAATGCGCAATTGTAAACATGTATCCGAAACGCGTGTGCATGTGCAACTTAATGAAGACATTGACCCCGAGGGACGGATTGGATTGACCTATCGAATTAGTGACTCTTTTTTTTTATTTATCGTTTATAATTTGTTTTTGTACTCATCAACAATGGCCGCGGCGGCACATTAATCATAATTTAAATTGACACACGGCAAAGAGAAAGATAGATAAGCATTAGTAAACTAGCGTATAAATACACGTGTAGGGATGTATATCTATTATTTTATTCACAACGCGCACGCACGCACACACACAGGACATGTAATCTGTCGATGACAATATTTCATATGGCACAATACTACGAACGAACCATTCACGGAACAAGAATTTCAATTCAATTTTTACCATCTTGACACGAGTCAAATTTGAGATAGTGCCCGATTTAGGTAACAAAAATAAATAAATACTTAAGATCATTAATCCAACAATTTCAAATTATGATTCTTATACAACCTTAGTATTAAAATTAAAGTCAACTTAACTAAGTTCTAACGGAAAAATTAAGCCCATATGATTTTCATGGAAAATTATTTAGGTTGGTTATGCCTACTCATCCTCATTGTACATTACAGCGAATATCTTATTACAAATTACTACACACATATTATTGATTTTTACACAATAATATGTTAACGAGAAAAAAATATTGGAAACCAATTTTATAGAAATAAACTGTGTATTTTTGCAGTCGTTAAACTATCATTTATAAAATTATTCATAAATAAAAAAATATGACATCAACATTAAACTATGAATTATTGTACCGTGGTCGCTTAGAACACTCAAAGGATAAATAGTCATTTTAATAAAGATTAACCTTATATACTGGGCATTGAACAAAATAGTAAATAGATTTATTTATTTATTTTTTTTTTTTTTTATTATTACCAGAAGAAATAAATTCTGGTAAGAATATTATAATATAATAACTACTGAACTATTTGTACCACATCGTGAAAATAAAATTTCACTATAGGAATCTATGATTGATTATCGACTCTGTTAAATTTTATTTATTAAACTGTCCATACCACGTATACATATATGTATTATATGTTAACTGAAGCGATTAACTGAAAGAAAAAAACTAAAATTAGGCAGAATATAGTAATAATAATAATAATGATGATAATTGACGGACCAATATTTCTGGCGTTGCCATTATTTATTGTTGTTGGGCAAATTCGGAATGAGGATAATATCGTACTTGACCTTTATATAGAGTTTACCACGTGGTTATTTATTATATCCAATAGCCCGGAGAGAAGGTGTCCGCGGTGCATGCGTACGTCTTGCGTATAATATAACATAACCGAACGAGAAACAAAACAAATATGCACTCAATTACACTCGTACACACGCGGAAACTTAATTTCTCGACAAAACAAAATTGTTAAATTAAGTACCTACTAACAGCTCATAGCAAAGACACAATTATTGAAATTTAAGTTCTGTTCTGATAAAGGTAAGTACCAACGATTTTTATATAAAGAATCAACGATATCAACTATGTTTTCTTATACCTCATGGTTTTTAATAAATGAATGCCAGTCATCGAAAACCGGACAATGATTTACACACAACAAATCATATCGACACATCCCGAAAATTCAGGCAGAATTATTAATTGTATTATCGGAGTAGTACGTATTTTATACGTTGTACAAATAATTTTATTTTAATCTATAAATTATTATTTGGTTCGCAAATAGTGCAACTAGATCTGATTGTAAAATTAATAACTATATTTGAGTACAAATCTTTGATAAAAATTTTATTACATACAATTCATACTTCATTTACCTTAATTATACACTTTTCAATCTAAATAATTACAACTCTTATTATGATTTGTAACACTTAAACTTGCATGCAAAAAGAATATAGTCTTATTAAGATTTACGAAAATGGAATATAACATGTATAATATATATTATATATTATATGTATAATGTATCAATCGAATAGTCACATCCAAAGAATCTTTGAAAAAATTGCCCTTGAATACTTATATTACATTATTTGTTTTCAATTATTATTTTAGAAAATATACCTATTTTATTATGTACATACGTACATCAAAATATTTCCAATTTCACTAAAACCTACATAAAAAAGGACCAATAATTTTCATTCATATAAATGTGGCTGTATGTAAACTGCGGCAAAAAAAAAATTAAGATTATACAATCTGCGACAAAATCGATAAGATACATTATACAAACTGCGGAAATTTATTTTATATACATACCTTCTATATATTTTATTTATTATAGTACTAACATCATATACACTTACCTATGTGACCTATGTAAGTATATCGTTTAATTAATTATGAAATGTTGCGTCTTGCGTACAAAGTGGTAAGTAAATCCAAATATATTTTTAAGTTTTAAGTTTTAATATATTAGTAATATCTGTTCCTTGACTTTTTAAAATACTAGTTATTACCTACTTACAAGTGTTAGAGGTTAATAGAAATAAAGTTAAATATTTATTCAACGTCATGGAATTTACAATAATGTTTAGCCAGAATGGCAAGGAATTAACAGTGTTAAAAAATTTTAAATTCAAATTTAAATATGAATCCAAAATAAATGGTAATCAAACATGGGAATGCACTAAAAAAAAAAAAAGCAAAATTGGTTTTCACAAGGAAAAAACTTTATTACAAGAAAAATCAGTTTTAGATCATAGTCATGAATCGGATTCTACAATTGAACGTCAAGCAGTAAGTAATAACATCAAACAAAAAAACATATATAGTATATATAATAAATTGCCGCAGTTTGTATAATGTAGCTTATCGGATTTGTCGCAGATTATATAATCTTAATTTTTTTTTACCGCAGTTTACATATTGACTTTTAGAAAAGATTAATTTTGCTGCGATTTACCATCTTCCCTGAATGTGTCCTACACAGGAATACAGATGTTTAAGTATAGGTAGGTAAATAAATACTAGGTAGCAGCTAATTAGTTATAACCGCTATACATGTAATTAATCAACAATAATTAAAGTGGTCAATACAATTTTGAGATGCTTTAAAATTAAAATTACTGGAATTAATTTGAGATAAATTATTATTTTCTGATATTTCAATATATTCAACTTAAATGATCAGTACTTAAAAAATGTTGGTAAGTATAGAATTAGAACGTCAGAAAAATATCAATAGGTAACATGTTGAATGACAGTTACTATTTCCCTGAACAATTTGAATAATTAGAAAAAATAAATAATCATTACATTTAATTAAGCGCAATCATAGTTGTATATTTAAACTTTGTTAAACGAATATCACAGGTCAAATATTTACTATATAATACGATATGGTTCAACGATAGTTATTTAAGTCTTGATTATAATATAATTTCATTTTTGTAGATTTTACGCTCAAAAGTACAGGCTTAATATTTTGAATTTTTTTTATTTTTCAAGTCCATTGTATTAAAATCAATACATATTTTGAAGTACAAATGTTTAAACTGTAACTGAGTTTTAAACAATCAAATTTATGGACAGTTTACCATACATCAAATCAGTACATATAACAGTGCTGTAAGCAAATGTATAACATTGTATTACTAAACTGTAATTATATTGTTAATCAGACAAAACGAGTTTTGATTTTGATTTATTCAACGTTATAAAATTTTTATCAAAACAGTAAAATAAAAATACGTTATCAAGACCTGGTAAAAAAGTCATCGGTACGTCGAATGCTGCGTGTATTAAATAATGCAATGCAGAGTAAACCACTTAATGAAATTTTCAAACGTATTTGGTTGTATATTTTATAAAATTTATACACACAATTGACAGCTTTAAAAATAATTAAAATAAGAATAAATCTAAAAGTACATTATTGTATATTAAAAAATTGCGTTTCAAATCATATTCATGACGGTTACGAAGTCCTAACTTAATTTAAGAACTAAAGATTTTGGGATTACTACACCTAAAATTTAAATTACATTTAGATCAAATAGATCCTTGACAAAGTGAATGGTTTTATAATTAATAATCATGGAGTATTTGAACACATCTGTAGCTTGAAAAGTATCGTGTAAGACATTAAAAAAAAAAAGATGCAAATGCGTTGAAATCTGAACCTTAATAATTATAATATTATATTTATATTACGTTTATATATTATATTACGTTTTATTTTTAATTACAAAATCTAATAAAGAGTATTTACAACCAGTCACGTTTTTTTAATGGTATTTGATTTGAATCAATTTCGATTTCCAAACATTTAGCGATCTAGTATTTGAATTTTGCACCAATTTCGAATAATAGTTAAATAATAACTGACTTTGATGTTTAACATATTAATAACTACATTATTAATTTCAAAGTATAAAAATCGAAAATAAATGCACTTTTGAAGTTATAATTAATATAATCTTGTACACGAGTTAAACCTCTTTATACGTAGATACATAAACCCTGTTTACCAACACTTTTCCTTGAGTGCTATGAGTTATTATCTTGAATATTTTTTAACGATTATGTAATATTATATGATTGTATATTGATTATAAATTGCATGATACAATGTACATTTTATTGACTTGATAATAATGTTTTATTTTTCGCCCTGTGATAGATCTCTCGCAGCATTAAAATTAATTGACTCATTGAATTTCGATTATGGCCTCGGGATCGGTTGT